CACTTTTGTCGGAATATCAGCCATCATCTTCAGAAAATATGCATGAAATCAACTTTTTGCGTTATTTATTCGAAATAGATGATATCTTAGAAGATACACGAAAAAAAGTCTGAGCAAAGATTGTTCACTGTTGCAAAGCGGCCAGTTCATAAGAGCAACTAAACTTCTCAGTTTCTTCCACGAAGGCAATATTGTAGTATAAAAATAAAGAACAAATTTAACTTTCAATAAGTCATCGAAGCGAGCATCCTTTGTACTACAAAAATCATTATTGAACGTATTTTTCGCATTCTCTTCCACTAATAAAAATACATAAATAAAAATAGAGACTAATGTTACTGTAGAGTAAAGTTGCAAGAACTTTTATAAAGGCGCTTGGTTTTGGTCTTTTCTCCTCTCTACATTCTCTCTGAAAAAATATGTTCGGTATAAAATTCCTAATCTGCTATTTGGTAGGCATTTCGACACATCCGTTATAGCTTCCAATGGACATTGATATTCTATATCGAACTTGCGGATCACCCTTTTGTCGATGGGTCGGTAGGTTGGCGTAGGGATGTGCCATGTCAGTGTAAATACTGAAGTACTGCCATCAGGGTTACTGATACAGCACCCACTGGAACACTGACAATACTATTCTTGATGTCATTGACGCTGACGAGTTCACATAAACGTACTCTAACACACTAAGGGTTACTGATGAGTCCCCGGGGGAGTTGCATATCTCAGGATCTTCCTAAAACTCTCCGAGAAGCCCCTCTAAAATTTTCATAAATTTGAATTTTTCACAGAATTCCAATGGTGGCTTCTGGAGAAACCCTGATAATACTCATCAATTCCCTGGGGACTTCTTGATTCCCCTCTTAACTTCCCTAGGGACACACGACAGGGATTTCCCCTGGATTCTTCTAGGGAGTCTTGACTAGGATAGCAATCATTGGTAATCATTCAGAATAAAGCGATCTTTATTCAAAACAGTGACACTAATTGTCATTCAGTTACGTATTAGTTATCAATACAGGAAGGATCATATTTCTATAATAATATATCGTCATATATTTTATACATCCAGCAACTGATGATGAACATAGATAATCGATATGTAATCTAACAAGGAAACCTTCCAAAGTGCCAGAGTGCTTTTCAGTCGGGGTTTTGCGCATCTTGTAACCCATAGTGAACTATGTCTATGGTAAAAAAAGTTCGGACTTCTGGCTTGTTTCTGCGGAGATATCGAGCTTCT